ACCCTCTCTCCCAACATTCTCAGACACTCCACACACTGATCCAATTTCTCTCAGACAAGACAGCAGCTTTGCACTGTTCCCATCTATCACCCTAAGCTTACTGCAACACAGAGTGGGGAAACAAACACCTTCTACTACAAGCAACGGAAGTTTCCTATATTTTCCTTAATGCGGTTAGTCCAGTATAAGAAGGAAACACTTTACCGTTAATCTGGTGGAAGTACCACTAGGAACATCTGTGTGAATTATGGAAGTAGCCATAGTTACAGTCAAAGAAATTAGCTTTCAGACCACCACTTGCCCAAGAGCTCAGGCAAGATTCTAGGCATAACCATAAACAGATCTTTATTGTAGCTCCAATCCAGAAGCAATCCCTGCCCCCAAAAGCTGATGGCTAGATACACATCCATTTTACCTTGTGATTGCTTTGAAACCAGTCAAAGTAAGACTCCTTGCAAGTCCACCATAGAATAGAGGAGTTTGTGTTTAAAGGCAGATCAGTGCTTGGGTTAACCATTAGAGGACAGGGCTTAGAGTCAGACAGTTCCCTCCCTCTCTAATAAAGCTGACTTGTCTTTAGGGCAACTGGAAGAACTTCAATCCAGCATTTCACTGTCTGAAAGGTGCCAACTCAATCACAATTTAACCCTGCTATTGCTGGCAAACTTGTTACACGGGCCTGTCTGCAGCTCAGGTTCCCAAGCTGGCTCAAGGGTGTGCCACCAGCTCTGAGCTGCTTGTACAGACAGCAGCAATATACATTCTTCAGCTGCTCTTCTTTGTGAGCTCTCAGTCAAGCTTCCTCCAGCACCAACTCTAGGACTGGTCTTTTAATTTTGGCTTTTGAACTCTTGCCCCATCACTTCACAGGGATCACAGAGTGGCCAGGAAATGATAGTTATGTCAGCTCACCACTAAAACAGAACATGTATGGATTCGAGTCTGTGGCTAGCTGTAGAATTTAAAAGAACTAGATTACCCTGGTGACCCCCACAGCACAGCACCTTGAAATTCAGTTGGTTTCAAGGGAGTATCTAATATATCTGAATTTTTATTCCACATAACACCAAAATATGTTTCAAGTTTCTTGTATCTGTGAATCATGCCATCATGGACAGACAGACAACTCCCTTCTACACTACTGCCCTTAGTGCGACCCTGGTCATTTGGGTTTTGTACAGTACAATCAGGCTTTGCTCATCAACAGTGTCAATTAAAACAAAGCTTCACTAATGCCATATGCACAGGAAACGCTCCAAGGGTAATGAAACCCTGCTGCAACCCTAGGGGTTTGATTTACACTTGATTTGAGCCATGAGCATATTCAGACCTGGGATATGTTGCTTCTGATTGATAGGTAGCACCTAACAATCTCTCTCCCCATCCCAGGTTCCACAATACATATCTCAGCCTCTCCTCTTCATGAAAATCAGTGGTCTGCCTGGAGATCGATCTTCGGCAGTCCAGAATACATCTCCTCACCAGCAGAGGGAAAGATTAGCAGAGATGAACACCACAGCCAGATAAACACTTACCTGTACCAAAGATGTAGTTTTACATGCTATAGTAAAGGGCTATTTTGATTCATGGGGAGCTGTTAAATATTAACCCTGACAGGTGAAGGGGAGACGGCCATATTGCTTCTTACAACCATAGGCTGCTTTTGCACAGCTCTTATCAAAAATCAAGCTCAAATATAAAAAAGCTTTTGTTGACAATATCACAAATCTCAGAAACTAGTACCTACACTGTTACTGAATACACAGAGAACTGAAGGTGTTTGCTCTAAGTTACAGGAAAGCCAGTCAACAGGTTTCGCACCTACCTTGCACCCCTCCACGCATCACAGTAAAAAGCTGCAAGGATTCCCACTACGAGGCTCAGCAGTAGCTGCATTTCTTTATTGTCCATACTTCCTGACAAGTTACTCTCTCTGGATTTAAGTGCAAGACATCGGTTATCAGATGACCTAGTAGAGAAAAATGAAACAATTCCCACTACGAGGCTCAGCAGTAGCTGCATTTCTTTATTGTCCATACTTCCTGACAAGTTACTCTCTCTGGATTTAAGTGCAAGACATCGGTTATCAGAGGACCTAGGAGAGAGAAATGAAACAATAACACAGGTTTGAAAAGCCCTTGAAGAAACACAAGGGAGGTTTAGTCCAGGGTGCAACCCTGCCTCCAGCTACAGCAAAACATTTCACTATTGCTCAAACTGAGCCTAGGATCAAAGGAGATCTGTTGAACAATTACAGGCACTGAGAAAGGGATCAGCCAAGGTATTGCCATATTCCTGGGCAGCCCTCATTAGCTCCAGGCAATTCTAGAGAGGTGGGCTACAGGTCTGGGTGTGCAGCAGGCAAGTAGCAACTCTGTGGCCACAAGATCTCCAAGGGGACATTCTTACAGGAATAAGTATCAGTCCTGAAGCACTGATATGCAGCGTACACAGCAATGGCTTCATTTTAGCCTTCCTCTTTCAAGCCCTATGCACCTTCAGGCATACTGCTTGGAAGAAGCTGCTTGTGTGCGACTACAAGGCCTTTTTTGTTAATAGGGTCCCAAAGGGAAATTCTGGAGGCAGCAAACATTTTCCTTCAACCTCCTCCATGTTACATTACTGCAAAACCAAGAGCCACAAGGGATAGCAAGATTCCTACAACCAGAAAGAGACAGCTTTCTTTGCTTTTAAGGAACTGTGCTGGCAATTGTGGAGAACATGTCCGTAGTACTGTATGTTCAGCAAAGACTCTGCTTGGGGGAATATCCAAATCTCTGGCAACCACATTAGTCAAAAGCAGGCTTGCTATGCAAAGCACACAGCTTTTCACCTTCTTGGTGTAAGAAAGGAAAACCTAAAAAAAACCTATCAGAGTACTGCCTTTCACTTCCTTGGAATATTATTTCATTATCCTCCACCACTGAAATCGGTCTGTCAAAGCTCAGGCAGCCAGGCTGGTTAGCTCAAACATGAGGTCAGATTGGGAAATGGGGATGTATTGTAACTCCTCAGAGATGGCCTGCTAAAGACTGAGGCCAAGAGCAGAGCTACTCCCTTGTAAAGCTCTGTAAGAAGTGTGATTCCTGGGATACACAGGGCTCCCAGCCCACAGACAGGGAGATAATAAGCAAAGACTGCACCTAACACAGGGGTTGGCAACCTCTGAAGGGCCACAGGCCATATGCCAGCCTCCTTTTCCAAGGTTTTGCATGTTTCTCTGGCAGTCCTACCAGCAATCCCAGGAGATGCTGCTTCTCTCATGGTGCAGAGACTCCGAGCCCAGCACTGCTGCTCCATGTTCAGTGTGTCCAGCTACCAACATCAATGCCCACACCAGAAGTTCTTCTATTCTTTAGTGCTGTGAAAGTAAGACTTTTTTTTTTTTCTTAAGCAAACTCTACCTGGGACTATCAAGTGAAGATGGTTATCTGTTAGCCCTTTCCCACCTCTAACAGTCCATTTAATTCCACATCCACTTAACTACATCCTTAGTTACATCTGGAAAAAATAAAAGGCAGATTTGCCTTTCTGGGTTTTTTTTTTTTCCATAAACAAAATTTATCTCCATTAGATCTTAAGCTGTGCGTGTGTTGTGGGTGTCAGCTAGAGTCTGAACAACTCATCCTGTGCATGTTCTCCAGGTGGTTGTGTATCAAATCTTGCTTACTTGCCTGTGCCCTGTGTGCTTTCCCACTTTCCCATGACTCTGGGCTAGGGGACATCACAAGATGTGCTTTAAGGACCAAGCTGTTCTACAAACTGATCAAGATTCACTGTAGGACAAACCTGTCTTTCAGTGATGTCCACAACATACCAAAACCAGTACTTGACTGGAAGCCTGTGGAATAAGGACCTGCTAATGAAGCTGGGGATGTTTGGACCTGTTCACAGTATTACTTGATGATATAAGAACTGAGTGTTATAACTCGGAGAGAAAAAGAACATTGCCTGCAGCATGCAACTACTCAGCAGTCATGCCTGTGGGTTAGCAAAGGCTAAGCTAGCAAAGGCTTGGCTTGGAAATGGTAGGTTCTTGTTTTCCCCTCCCAGTTCAGTTGTCATCTTCAGAAGCACATGCTTTCAGGCTGAGAATACAGGGCAGAAAGAAATTACAAAAGCAAACTCTGCACAGCTATTTGTCTTGCTTTCACCAAACAAAACTGATAGCCCAACAACTCCCAAGCTTGCCTTAATTCCACACTCGCTGGCCATTTTCCAGCAAGTCCCTTCCCTTCTACGCCAAACCTTCTCTCAGAGACACTGAACAAACACCCAGAGACAACAGCATTTATCAGCACAAAGCCCCCACCGCTTCTACTGCTGCACTTGCAAAAATACACACAGTTTTGTCGCAGAGCAATGCCTCAGAGAACTGCACCAGGAGGTGGGAACAGCTTAGTGAGCCAACTGGTCTGTGTTCTCCACAGGCTGAAATGCCCCAGGAGAGAAAAAGTATCTTTCACGGTGGAATGCTAGCAAGCACCTCCTCAGCATCCACACAGCAGACTTGCAGAGAAGGGAACACTTTCTGTTTTTTTATTAGTGCTGTTTTGACTGCTTGGTATCCAGCCCCACCCAGCTAATGCCCCAGTAAAGAAACTGCCTTGAATCTATGTTGTAACAGCAGATGATATGGGTCCAAGCTGGAATACCTCCCCCTCTCCCACACAGTAATGGGAACATAGGCAGGCTCCCCCAGCCAGCTCCCACACACCAGGGAAAGTCCTTGCCTGGAGCAATCACTGGGAGATTGGGTATAAATGCTCTGAATTTGCCCATATTACAGCCTCACTGGAAGTTGTTTCAGTTCTTTCTGCAAGCACAATGACTACTCAGCTGTTGAGCACA